CAATGGCACCACCTGAGGCAGGCACGCGACCGACCCGATCGAAGCTATCGAATCTAGAAATCATCGATGGACTTAGAAAAAAATCAGGATCTCGTGGATCTTGGATGGCCTGAAGAGACGGGCTTTAACACAAATAACTACAAAGCTGGGGTAAGGGACAGCGGGATTAGTAGGTGATGGGCTTTGGGCACTTTAGCGTGCATTTATAACGCGGAAGTTCAGGCAGGAATCGTGCGGGGTGGATGCGAAAGGAAAGAGGCCGCACGTGTGGGGGTACCAGCGCAAGCGACGGCGGGAGGTGATGTCTGCTTGGCTGCATCAAAGTGCATTGGAATGCCTCCTGCCCGAGACGAGAGCATTCCGCAAGCAGATGGCGCATATGTTACAATATTTCTTTGTTAAGCTTACAGTGGTAAGTTAGTCAAACTACTGTAGTGGGTAGTTGTAACGACCGCACACGTTTTCATAACGGGAACAACCCTTTTGACTCGAGTTTCTGGTCTGCCGCTCTGTCGCGATTATTCTGCAATTGAACCGCAACTATCGTTGTTGCGCCGGCGTCTCTGCCGAGCTATTTCCCGATCTGACGGCGGCGACTCACACAATCCTTAGCCGCGATTGACAATGCGCCATCGTTCACCGTCGATGGAACTCCACCTTCCCACAGCCTCCAGCAACCACCCACTGATCGGCTTACTCAGAAGCCCGCAGTGCGACTCCAACCCCCACCCCACCTTCCCCAGCCGGCCGCGAAGATGCGGAGGCGCGGCATTGACCCCCGTTCTTCGCACTGCTGGCCCCACTGCGGCGCTCTCTCCTCCTCTCGCTCGCTCGCTTCGCCATTATCGCGCCGCGCCGTTCGCCCTGCATCCCTGCACTACCTCCTACATCTCAAAGCCTTTCCCGCTGTTGCCCAAGGGTCCTAGCACTATATATGCACGAACGCATTTCCCCAAGCCTTTGTGAACCAACTTCCCTTGTTCTTCAGCTAACCACCTCCCACATCTGCCATACCCTCGGTTTAATCGTCGCCATACCTTCCAGTTTCCCCATACCCTCGGTTCAGTAGTCGTCGTGCCCTCCACTTGCTCTCTCGTCGTCGCCGCGCCCTCAAGTTGCTCATTCGTCGCTGTACAAGCCGTTCTCGATGGCTTTAATCGCGTCGCTCGCCCGCCTGCGTCGGTTGGCACCAGTGTCGCTCATCGTCGGCGTCGTCGTCGCAATCGTCGCCGCGGCCCTCCTCCCTTCTGGCGACGCAATCCGCTTGGCCGCATCGCCCGAAACGACCATCCTCAAATCGCAGCGTACGTGTCGTTCTGCCATTGGCTGGGATGGTTTCCCCGTGGAGCGTGCTTAAAGCGTCGTCTTTCGCCCTTATCAACGTTCTCCTGAAATTTTCCGTCCCACCCGACCCACTCCCCCTCCGTCCCCCTCCGTCCGTCAGTGGACGTTCTCCGTCAGCTCGGCGCGCAGTCGGGCAGCGAGTTCGATGGGTTCAAGTCGTGGACGGCCAGCGGCGCGCCCGCTAAGTGCTCCAAGTACTATGGCGTGACGTGCGACGCGGAGGGCAAGATCGTCGCCATGTGAGTCAAGTGCGACGGCTGTGAGTGACGTGCGACGACTGTGAGTGACTTGGGATGAGGAGGGGAATATTGTCGCACTGTGAGTGACGTGGCACCTCAAAGGTGGTCCCCCCGCTTCTGTATTCTATTCTCGAGGCACCTATCTACCTGACCTTCAACTGATCTACCTATCTACCTGACCTTCAACTGGTCTATCATCTCCCATGCTGCTTCCCTGTGCGTGCGTGCCTCATTCCCTGCTCCATGCTCCTCTGTACCTCCACGTTCAGCTACGTCCCGTCTGCCCGTCTCGTGGGGCCCATCGACGCGCTCTCCTCGCTCGACCAGCTGCACCGCCTGTGAGCCCCTCCACCCAAACCTCTTCCCGTCCACCCTCGCCCTTTCCCACCCACCCTTACACCCTCTTCTTGCACCCGCACCGCACACCCGCTCCTCGACTCTTGAGCTAACATATCCACTTGGTTAGTGCTCACTCACTCTTTCAACCGCACACCTCGCATCCCCATCCACTCCACTGCTTTGGGGCTTCCTTGCATCTTCGCTTGGTTCGGCCGACCAGCTCGCATTCTCTCACTTTCTGTCACCTTCTCTCACTTTCTGTCGCCTTCTCTCACTTTCTGTCGCCGTCTCTCACTTTCTGTCGCCGTCTCTCACTTTCTGTCGCCGTCTCTCACTTTCTGTCGCCTTCTCTCACTTTCTGTCGCCTTCTCTCACTTTCTGTCGCCGTCTCTCACTTTCTGTCGCCGTCTCTCACTTTCTGTCGCCGTCTCTCACTTTCTGTCGCCGTCTCTCACTTTCTGTCGCCGTCTCTCACTTTCTGTCGCCTTCTCTCACTTTCTGTCGCCTTCTCTCACTTTCTGTCGCCGTCTCTCACTTTCTGTCGCCGTCTCTCACTTTCTGTCGCCGTCTCTCACTTTCTGTCGCCTTCTCTCACTTTCTATCGCCTTCTCTCACTTTCTGTCGCCTTCTCTCACTTTTTGTCGCCTTCTCTCGCTTTCTGTCGCCTTCTCTCGCTTTCTGTCGCCTTCTCTCGCTTTCTGTCGCCTTCTCTCGCTTTCTGTCGCCTTCTCTCACTTTCTGTCGCCGTCTCTCACTTTCTGTCGCGGTCTCTCACTTTCTGTCGCCGTCTCTCACTTTCTGTCGCCTTCTCTCGCTTTCTGTCGCCGTCTCTCACTTTCTGTCGCCGTCTCTCACTTTCTGTCGCCGTCTCTCACTTTCTGTCGCCTTCTCTCACTTTCTGTCGCCTTCTCTCACTTTCTGTCGCCTTCTCTCACTTTTTGTCGCCTTCTCTCGCTTTCTGTCGCCTTCTCTCGCTTTCTGTCGCCTTCTCTCGCTTTCTGTCGCCTTCTCTCGCTTTCTGTCGCCTTCTCTCACTTTCTGTCGCCGTCTCTCACTTTCTGTCGCGGTCTCTCACTTTCTGTCGCCGTCTCTCACTTTCTGTCGCCTTCTCTCGCTTTCTGTCGCCTTCTCTCACTTTCTGTCGCCGTCTCTCACTTTCTGTCGCCGTCTCTCACTTTCTGTCGCCTTCTCTCACTTTCTGTCGCCTTCTCTCACTTTCTGTCGCCTTCTCTCACTTTCTGTCGCCTTCTCTCACTTTCTGTCGCCGTCTCTCACTTTCTGTCGCCGTCTCTCACTTTCTGTCGCCTTCTCTCACTTTCTGTCGCCTTCTCTCACTTTTTGTCGCCTTCTCTCGCTTTCTGTCGCCTTCTCTCGCTTTCTGTCGCCTTCTCTCACTTTCTGTCGCCGTCTCTCACTTTCTGTCGCCGTCTCTCACTTTCTGTCGCCGTCTCTCACTTTCTGTCGCCTTCTCTCACTTTCTGTCGCCTTCTCTCACCTTTTGTCGCCTTCTCTCGCTTTCTGTCGCCTACTCTCGCTTTCTGTCGCCTTCTCTCACTTTCTGTCGCCTTCTCTCACTTTCTGTCGCCTTCTCTCACTTTCTGTCGCCTTCTCTCACTTTCTGTCGCCTTCTCTCACTTTCTGTCGCCTTCTCTCACTTTCTGTCGCCTTCTCTCACTTTCTGTCGCCGTCTCTCACTTTCTGTCGCCGTCTCTCACTTTCTGTCGCCTTCTCTCACTTTCTGTCGCCTTCTCTCACTTTTTGTCGCCTTCTCTCGCTTTCTGTCGCCTTCTCTCGCTTTCTGTCGCCTTCTCTCACTTTCTGTCGCCGTCTCTCACTTTCTGTCGCCGTCTCTCACTTTCTGTCGCCGTCTCTCACTTTCTGTCGCCTTCTCTCACTTTCTGTCGCCTTCTCTCACCTTTTGTCGCCTTCTCTCGCTTTCTGTCGCCTACTCTCGCTTTCTGTCGCCTTCTCTCACTTTCTGTCGCCTTCTCTCACTTTCTGTCGCCTTCTCTCACTTTCTGTCGCCTTCTCTCACTTTCTGTCGCCTTCTCTCGCTTTCTGTCGCCTTCTCTCACTTTCTGTCGCCTTCTCTCACTTTCTGTCGCCTTCTCTCTCTGTCTCGCATGTCTCTGATCTAGATGCCTCGGATTTTGTTTCTTGCCGTTTCCAAGTCTCTCGCCGTTGCCCCTTCCATCCCCTCCTCTTGTTTAAACGCCTTTCCTTCTTCTCCGCTCCTCCCCTGCTTCTCCGTTCCTCCACTCCTCTCCATTCCTCTCCGCTCCTCTCCGCTCCTCCCCTGCTTCTCCGTTCCTCCACTCCTCTCCATTCCTCTCCGCTCCTCTCCGCTCCTTCCCTGCTTCTCCGTTCCTCCACTCCTCTCCATTCCTCTCCATTCCTCTCCGCTCCTCTCCGCTCCTCTCTACTCCCCTCCGCTCCTCTCCCTCTCCACTCCTCTCCTCCGCTCCTCTCCCTCTCCGCTCCTCTCCACTCCTCTCCACTCCTCTCCCCTCTCCTCTCCTCTCCGCTCCCCTCACGGCATGGCGCGGTCGCAGCGAGTTGAGTTACAACAATGGCGTAGAGGTATTGCCACAGTCTTTCACCAACCTCAAGAAGCTCAAACTCCTGTGAGTGCCCTGGGGTGCAATGCAATTTAATGCGGTGCTGTGCGGGGGGGCAAGGTTGTGAGGTACAGCAACGGCATGGAGGCACTGCCACAGTCTTTCACCAAGCTCAACCTCCTGTGAGCGCAGTGCTGTGCGGTGCAGTGCGGCTGGCTGACTGACGGGGCTGCCATTCGTGCTCCGCTCCACATTGCACTCACTGCTGCTGTTTTCCTTTGAACAGCTCTTTCCTCTTTTCTCTCCCCTCTTTCCCTCCTGCTCGCCTTGCCCCTTCCTCTCCTCTCTCTTCCCTCCCTCTCGCCTTGCTCTTCCTGCTTCTACTTCCTCCGCTCCCCCCCGGCTCCGCCCACAGCAATGTGCACGGCTGCGGGGTAAGGGGCGCATTCCTTACCCCATCTCTCCTCGCTTTCTCCCTCCCTCCTTCCTCCCCACCCTCTCCTCTCCCTGTTGCCCACAGCAATGTGAACGGCTGTTCTATCAAGGGGCGCATTCCGGCCTTCCTCGGCCAGCTCACTGCCCTCACATACCTGTCAGTCAAAGAACCATGCCATGCCACGCCACGCCAGGCTGGTTCTAGAAATTTTGAGCTAGAAGATTCTAGCTTTTCTTTCTTTCTTTTCTTTCCGGTAGCCCTTGAACCCTTGACCTCTCCACAAGCCTTCTCACGCCACCTTTTGAGGCACTCAATTTTTGTTTTGCCTTTCCCACGCGTGTGTCCTCGCTATTGGCCAAATGGCAGGAGCATTGGTGATAATTCGTTTGAAGGTGCCTTGCCTTCCAGCCTCGGCAGCCTTGTCAACCTCGTCTTCCTGTAAGCACTGTCTCCTGTAAGCACCGTCGACTCGTTATAAGCATCCTCGTTTCATGATAAGACATCCTCGTTTTGTGATACGCATCCCCACCTTGTTGTAAGCATCCTTGACTCACTTTAAGCATCCTTATCCTCGCTATAATCGCCCCCGTCTCCATTAACTGACCATCCCCATCCCCCTTCCTCCCCACCTTGAATGCACCCTTGGCAGCAACATCGGTGGAACAGGGGAGGACGGTGTGGGAGGGGCCTTGCCGGCCAGCTTTGCCAATCTGACGAAGCTCAAAGAGCTGTGCGTGCCTTAGGGGGAGGGGGGGGGGGTGGGGCTTGGGAAGAATATGGGATAGTGCCGATCTGAGGAAGCTCAAAGAGTTGTGCGTGCTTAGGGGGGGCAGAGGTGCTGGGGGTGGGGGTGGGGGAGAGGGGATGGGAAAGAAATATTGGATAGTGCCAATCTGAAGCAGCAGACAGAAAGCACTGTGCGTGCCTGGGGGTCAGTACTGGACAGGAAGAAGAGGGGCAGTAGGAGGGAGGGGAGGGGGAGGGGATGGGAAAGAATATGGGATAGTGCCGATCTGACGAAGCTCAAAGAGTTGTGCGTGCTTAGGGGGGGCAGAGGTGCTGGGGGTGGGGGTGGGGGAGAGGGAATGGGAAAGAAATATTGGATAGTGCCAATCTGAAGCAGCAGACAGAAAGCGCTGTGCGTGCCTGGGGGTCAGTACTGGACAGGAAGAAGAGGGGCAGTAGGAGGGAGGGGATGGGAAAGAATATGGGATAGTGCCAATCTGAAGCAGCAGAACGACCTGTGGGTGTTTTGGAAGGTGGAGGGTGGGGGGGGAGGGCAGAGGGAGAGAGAGGAGGGAGGAAGGGAGTGGGAACAGAGAGAGTGAAACAAAGTGTGCTCGGCAAGCTAGTTCTTATTCCATCCCGTCCCATCCTCGTCCTTACTCCTCTCTTGCTGTTTGCCCCATCCCCCTACCTACCCCTCACTCCCTCTTATCTTCCCTCCCCTCTCACCCCACCTACCCTCCCCTTCTTTCCGCCCTCCCCCCACCCTCTCATCTTCCCCCCCGCTTCCCCCCCGCTTCCCCCCCGCTTTCCCCCCACCCCCCACAGCTATCTGCACAACAACCGCTTCAGTGGGCCGCTGCCGGACTTCATCGGCTCTTTCACCAAGCTAGAGCAGCTGTGAGTTCCCCTCACTTCCGTTCCTGCTCATTCCTTCCCTCCCCCCCACCCTCTCCGCTGTCAATGCTGCTCATCCCCCCTCCCCCTGAAGCTGTGAGGAAGGGGTTGCAGCTTTGATTGGCATGAAAGGAGTGCCTGTGAGTGCACCGCGCGTAGAGAGGAGCAGCTGTGAGTGCCGTGCGAGTTCAGTGAGAGTTCAGTGAAATCAGTCAGGGGAGTGCTTGTGAGTGCCACTCGCCTAGAGTGAGAGTTCAGTGAGATTTCAGTGAGAGTTCCGTGAGAGTTCCGTGAGTGCCACTCTTTCCCCTCTGCACGCTGTAAGTGTGCCACACTCAAGAGAGAGGAGTGCCCGCGAGTTCAGTGAGAACAGGGAGAGGAGCGCCTGTGTTGATAAAGGAGTAGCGATGGGTAAAGTGCAGTGCACCTAGAGAGGCCCAGCCAATCTTGGTGCACAGAGAATTGAGAGGAGGAACTGTTAAGTGCACTGTTAGTGCACTGTGCCTTGACCCCCTTGGCGACTTCGTTGCAAAGCCTACATGTGGCTGCTCTCCGCCACTGCTCTCTCTTCTGCTGCACACTTAATCTCTCAATACACACTCTCACTCACTCACTCACTCCCAATGCCCCTCCCCAACCCGCACAGCATGGTAAGCAAGAACCGCTGGGAGGGTGCCATTCCCAAGACCTTTTCCAAACTCAAGAAGCTCAGACTCCTGTGAGTCTCGCTCTCAGGCTCACCAGCCTCTCTCTGTCTATGACTTTCTTCTTTGTTACCGTACTGTTGAGACGTCTGAGCAACCAGCCTCTCTCTGTGTCTCTGTCGTTCTTCTTTCTCGTTCTCTTACTCCTTCTCCCTGTCTTTCTCGTTCTCTTGCTTCACAATGACCTTTCAGAAGTATTCCCACAACCCCATGCTTTCTCGTTCTCTCCCTCCCCTCCCCTCTCCCCTTGCTTTATAATGACCTTTCAAAAGTCTTCCCGTTACGAACATCAACTTGATTGTTCCCAAATTGCAACCGTTGATTATTCTCCTCAACTGCTCAAAATTAAACCACCTGTTTATCACCCTCTGCCATGCCCTAACTCTCTCTCCCCTTATTCGTCCCCTCTCCATCTCTCCACCCGTCCCCTCTCCCTCCGCTCCTCTCCCCTCGTTTCCCCCCACGGGTCTAATCTAACTGTCTGCCATGTCACAACTCTCTTCTCCCCCTCCCCCCCCTCGAACCCCTTCACCCCATCATGCCATCCCAGCGGGCTGATGGAGACATCACTGGAGGGCGAGATTCCAACGTTCCTGGGCGCACTAGAGCACCTCACATACCTGTAAGCTCACATACCTGTAAGCTCACATACCTGTAAGCTCACATACCTGTAAGCTCACATACCTGTAAGCTCACATACCTGTAAGCTCACATACCTGTAAGCTCACATACCTGTAAGCTCACATACCTGTAAGCTCACATACCTGTAAGCTCACATACCTGTAAGCTCACATACCTGTAAGCTCACATACCTGTAAGCCCACATACCTGTAAGCTCACATACCTGTAAGCTCACATACCTGTAAGCTCACATACCCCCCCCCCTCTTTCCTCCCCCCAGCTCTCTGTCGGACACGCGGCTGCATGGAGAGGTGCCCGCTTACTCACCGCCTTCTCATTGCCCCTCGCACATCTTCCCTCT